TAAAAATTGTATAATATTAATTATATATATACATATATATATATATATATAAACATTTTAATATAATATAGGATAGTAGAATGTAATGCAACATTTACATTTTTCACACCTCTCAATCTAATTTGATTTTTGGCCCTTTGTATTAAAAAGTTTGGGCACCTCTGCTTTACAGCAATATTTATTGTTAAAAGTGCTATAAATAAATTTTATACTGAATTATTATATTAGAATTATATTTTATATTGAACTGAAAATGTGTATACATCTTGCATTACCAGAACTTTTTTTACCCACTGCATATTAAAGTAGAGAATTTGTTCTAATAGTTTTTTTTAAAATAAATATAATATAAAGCTGAAAACAACTAGTCTTTACTATTTATCACATAGTATAAACGGGTCATATAGAGCTGCTCTATATATAATATGTGAATATACAGAGCTCCGTTTATATTTTAGGAAGGTAGGGGGATCATATTTAGGGGTGCTTGGGATCAAAATGTTTGAAAACCCTTACTAGAGTTATCTATATTTCATCTGTTAGCATCTGCTGTACATTTCAAACTATGCCCTCAAATCTCCGTTTCAGTTTGACCCGCTACAGAGATACAGCCGTTACTAATAACGTCTGTCTTTCATTGTGCTTTTCCCATTCAATCCATCATTCAGTTCTTTTATTCTAATGGCAAGATCTTTTCTGATCGTCCCTTCTGCGTTAGCACTTAACCACAGGAACCTGTTTTATGGGTGGCCATTTTCACGTGGGAGCACCGACTTCTTTCAGAACCCATTTGATGCTGTGTTGTAACCGGGGCATGTCTGGATGGCGTTATGGCACACATCTGACATTGCTGCACTTTTCCTGCCTGGATCGCTGGGAACGGGAGCGCTTTTCCAAGTTTGGATTATGGATCAAAGTCAAAATCAGGCGGAGGGAAGGAGAGTGAATCCCACCCCGGCCAGGTGGGGCATAAGCTGAGGTGAAAAGCAACACCCAGCGACGGTGGGGGAGAGGTTAGGAAGCATGGATCTCTTTGAAGTGCCGGTGCATGTCATGGTGAACTTGGTCTTGTTGGAGCTGAACCGTAGCGGATTGATTTGCATGGAGGTGGGGTGAGGGGGCGGGAGAGTGGCAGAGTTATTGGTGACCCCCACAAGTGTGTGTGAGAGAGTTGGCCATCTGTGGTAGGATATTACAACTGTCTCACTTCACCTTTCTCCCCTATTGCCCTCTCGGCCCACCCAGAAACTCTGTTTCAATGAGGTCCTAGTCGGTAGAGCTCTGTACGTACAAGAAAATACTTTTCTGTCCTGGCTCAAAGGACGCTAAAGTGACAGGTTTTCTCTAGTGTTAATTAAATATAATTAAAATACTATTATAGGTTTAATCTATAATTAGTTTTTTTTTTTTTTAGTTTTCATTTTAATGTTAGTATTTTTATTGTATTTAATTTTATTGTATTGTCATTTTAATTCATTTTATTTAGTTTAATTAGTTTCATTTCTTAAAGGGATAGTTCACCCAAAAATTCTGTTATTAATTACTCACCCTCATGTCGTTCCAAACCCGTAAGATCTTCGTTCATCTTCGGAACACAAATTAAGATATTTTTGATGAATTCCGAGAGCTCTCTGACCCTCCAATAGACAGCAAGGATCCTACCACGATCAAGGTCCAGAAACATAATAAGGACATCATTAAAATAATCCATGTGACATCAGTGGTTCAACCGTAATGTTTTGAAGCTACAAGAATACTTTTTGTGCACCATTTTGGAGAGTATCACGACCTTTGAGCGTGCTTTGATCTGAACGTAAACAACGTATGCTGTTCTGTGTCAGCAGCATCACGCGCATACGTTGTTTACGTTCAGATCAAACCACGCGCATACGTCGTGATACTCTCCAAAATACTGCCAGGGTGACGCGGAGGAGACGAATTGTTGAATAAAGTAATTATTTTTGTTTTTGGGTGAAATCTCTTAAATTTTTTTTTTTTACATATATCTATCCAAAGTTCTGTCATACAACTCTAGATGGCACAGTCCGATAGATCTAACTCAATCTGACATTAGGGGCCCTATTTTAACGATCTAAGCGCATGGTCTGAAGCGAATCATGCAGGTGCACTTAGGGCGTGTCCGAAGTCACTTTTGCTAGTTTAACAATGGAAAAAACGGTCTGTGCGCCAGACGCAAGGTCCAAAAGGGTTGTACCTATTCTCTTAATGAGTCATTTGTGTGTTTTGGGTTTTAACGTGCAATAAACCAATCAGAGTCTCATCTCCCATTACCTTTAAGAGCCAGTTGCGCTTGCACCATAGCGGATTCGCTATAATGCATGCTGGAATTTGCAAGAGCAAAGACTGAACATTTCTTCAGAGAGGAAACGGATCTGCTTGTGCGCGAGCATCATCTACAGAACAAGCCGGATTTCACCAAAGCCCCCTGACAATAATACACAATAGGCTAATAATCTTTTAACATTGTAATCCTTTCGTTTTTAATATTTGACATGTTTGTGTGCTGCTGCACGTCCTTGTGTGTGTAATAAGCAAAGGGTGAGAAAGCTCTTGGATTTCATCAAAAATATCTTAATTTGTGTTCCAAAGATGAACGAAGGTCAAACAGGTTTGGAGCAACATGGGCGAGTAATTAATGACAGAATTTTCATTTTTGGGTGAACTAGCCCTTTAAGTGTCCACATGCTGACCTGTAAAGGTGTGATAAAAGTCTATGTAAAACTCCATGTTTGCATAAATTTCTATTGGATTGACTAGATTTTGCATGCAAAATGTTGCCAAACAATGGTAAATGTGACTGAACCTTAATATTAAAGCACCAAAACATAGTCAACTCGTGGTCATGTCATTTTTAATGACAATAAAAACCTGAAAATAAAATATTAAACATCTGTAAAATAAAGCGAGTTAAACAATTTTTTACAAATGTACAGATATGACCATGGATACGCAGACAGAAAAGGAGTCTGGTTGTTGAAGGCTCATGTCTCTAGATCATCAATGTCCTGATGTTTTGTGAGAAGAGCTTCTGGAAGGTTCTGATACTGCAGATAGAGAAAAATCACCTGAACCTGTGATGAAAAACACAAAAACACACATGTGAAAAATAATGTGAGAGGATGCAGTGCCTCCTTCAGGCTATGACTGGCTCATTATCCTGCCAATGCAATAATGGCCGCCTTTCATATTCTCTTCCTCACTGTGATTGTCTGATTAATCTGTCATTTTGTTAATGCTCACATCTGATGTTCACAACTGGTCTACAAATTGGCCTAAATGGGTCAAACCGGTATAAATTGATTACTTAGTTACTTAATTACCTGTGATCATCACAACAAAAATTTTAATAACTAATAGACTGTAAAAAGGTGACTATTAATAATAATATTCAAACAACAATTATAAGTAGGACTGCATGATTAACTGAAATAAAACTGAAATCTGGATATAGCTTAGTGCAGATTTAAAGGTGACATATAGGGATCTCATTATAATATTACCACCCCTTAATCTGTCAATTTCCACCCAAGGCGCTGTCATTTGATTTTTGCAAGCGACAAAGGTGTACCAGTTCTAATGCCATGGCGAAAGTTTGAGCAACTTTCTGTGTGTGTGCTTCGGATGTGTGCGCTCAGAAAACCATATATCAGAAGTTTAAACTAAAACACATGATATCAGCGCGATAAACATGATAATCAGACCCAAAACAGATGTTTTTATCAGGTACGAGCTATAATGGCGCAGCTCTATTCTGGAAAAGGGGGCGGGGAGCAGCAGCTCATTTGCATTTAAAGAGACAGGCACGAAAAACAGTGTGTTTCTACATCCACTCAAAATAGGCATTTTCGAAATTATATAATAAATTATCTGTGGGGTATTTTGAGCTGAAACTTCACAGACACATTCTGGGGACACCTGAGACTTATATTACATATTGTAAAAAGGGGCATAATATGTCTCCTTTAAAATGACTGTCACTACTCAAACATTTCTTTCTACCTTATTGGAGAGAAAACAGTTAGTTTGTGATTAGAAGTAAATCTCCAGCACGTGCGTTCAGATGGAGCGGCATTTACTACACAGAGCCGTAGTTCACTGACAAGCTACACAAAATCGCGTTCAAAATCGCAGGCGATTCATTGCCGATTTTGAACGCGATTTTGTGTAGCTTGTCGCATTCGATTTTTTGCACAGCCCTAAATGTAGGTGTAATGTAGATTTAATAAAATAAATATATGCGAGTGAATGTAAAGAGAAGTGATTATAAAGACAAGTAAAATTAAAGCTTGATGGTTTAACGTCTGAAAGTGAAGAAATTAAGACAGTCATATATATTATTATTGTAAATTTACAGTTGCGCTGTAATATTAAATAATTATTATTATATAACTTTTGTTAAATATTCAACTTTTATTTTACAGTGGAATATTACAATAATAATATTTCTTATTACAATAATAATTACAATAATAATATTTCTTATTTTGTTTAATATTTTTACTTAGTAATAGTAATAATACTGTCAAGTCAAATTGACATATATAGAATCACAAAATATTTAGCCAAATTGTGCAGCCCTATAAACAAGCTCAGCAAAAAAATAGCATCTACATTTTTCCCAAATTATGTAGCTTATGAAGAAATATGCTTTTTTTTTTTTAAATTAAGATAAACATGAAGTTAAAAAATTTATTAACTTGCTCCTAATGTAACTTGGCTTTAATAAAGTGTTCATATGAACATATAAAAATATTGTATTTTATTTTATTTACACACACAGACAGGGGATTTTTTGCTCCTCATTTCATATGTCCACGCCATTGTAGAGAAGATACTCAAGCATCCATTGAGTGCAGAAAATTGTTGTTTCTCTTCTTCTAAAACAAACCCCAGAATAGAGAAAACTGTATGTGTGCGTAAGCAGCCAGGCTTCAAGGAAATGCTATAACTGGACTACTTATAATAACACAGTACCACACTTGACACATCAAGCATTTATTTTATAAAAAAGAAACAACTCACCTGAACCTCCACTTCTTGAGATATGTCGACACGAGCCACTGGAGGGCGCAAAAGGCTGGGGCCAAACACTGTGGCCAAATTACTCAGAGACATTTTATTCTCTCCCTTCCTCTCTGCAACACTGAGAAACACAAAAAGAGAGAAAGATGTGCATGAGAAGGGGAAAAAGAAAATAAACAGAGAAACATCTTTTTTTTAATTTACATCCATCAGTACTGAAAGTGATTCAGGTCAGTCTGGGGTGAAACTAAATCAGTGTTTTGGCAGTTACGAGTTGAAAGGATATTGTGTACCGTCTCAGGTGATGTAAGAGGAAGAGGAGAGTGTTGCGGTTTACATCTGGTAGAGCCTGCAACAGAGTCAGCATGCTGTCGGCCCTGAGATATGGATCGGCAATGTCTGCCATAACCGAATAGAGAAAGAGATATGTATTATCATTTTAAATGATTCATCATCATCATCATCATCATCATCATCATGTATACTGTTCTCACGTTGCATGTTTATGCACAGACCTGTGCAACTGTGTGTTCAGGTGTGTGAAGGCCTCACCTAGTGCATCTGCGAGCTCCTTGAATCGCTCCGAGGGAATAAGAGGTAAAGGAAGTTCTCTAAAGTACAGTTTCAGAGTGCCTGATACAGCATTCACATCTACAGTCCTCAGTTTACTCACAGCCTCACGGTAATCTACAGAGAGAGAGACACTTTTGAGATAAGTACACTTGAGATTAGTTCTGTGAGAATCTGTTAATAGTTTGACACACCCACACACACACTCACTAGTGTTGAATGCATGTTTTAGTGCTTGTATCTCGGTGCTGGCTCCTGAGATTCTGTAGATCCCCTCTTCTTTCAGACCCCTCCTCTCAATCTCCTCCACACATGAACGGACAATGTGAGGGACCAGCACACTCTCTTGCCTGTAAACACACAAACATAGACACAATTAAGCATTTAAACACTTCTTCTTATTCCGTTTTCATTTTCCTCTTCCTTTTTTGATGACAAAACACCTCTATTTCTACACATCTTAAAACACAAGAATCACAAACGTGCACACCAGCACATTAAAACCTCACGAGGAAGGAAGTTTATTAGAATTGTAACCCACAGTCTTCTTCCTAATTTACAGATTATTTGGACACTTTACACAGGTTCTTAGCAGAATAACCACACATGGGGCCCTATCATACACCTGGCGCAATGTGGCGCCAGGCGCGACGCAAGTGTTTTTTGGTATAGTTTCAGCTCGACGCATTTGTCATTTTCACATCCTGCGCCACGTTGTTTAAATAGCAAATGCATTTGCGCCCATTTGTGTGCTCATGGGCGTGCTGGTCTGAAAACGAGGTGTGCTCAGGCACATTGCTGGCGCGTTGCTATTTTGAGGCTACTGAAATAGACTGCGCCATTGACCAACAAAAACCTGGTCTAAAGTCAATGGCGGAGTAGTTTTTTTGTTATTTAAAGAGCGCGTTAGTATAGGCGGGTCCACAGCGTGCGTACACTCTGCTTATTACACACACAGGGACGCACAGCAGCACACAAACATGCCAAATATTAAAAATTAAAGGATTGCAATGTAAAAGATTATTATTGTGTAGGCTACATAAATATAAAAATGCCTACATGTCATCAGGCCCAGATTAAGAACACATAGGGCCCTGGGGCTATAGCAAACCCAAGGGCCCCCCTTCATAGTAGCCTATCTTGGTGCCACAACGTTTTCTACCACAGGAATAATTTATTTATTTCTTTTCTAAAGCAGAGGTTCAAACTCCAGTTTTCTAATGAGTATGCACACTAAATATTCCAGGCCACAACACATTAAAATAATAAATGCATTAACACCAGATATATGAAGTCAAAGCAAACAGGTTTCCAGAAGCAGCAACAACTTTTGAGCATATACAGTACAGCTCCCTTAAGGAGTTTACTTTAAATTGTTTTATTATTAGATGGTCTTCTTTCTGGCTACATTAACACTAGATATGAAGTCAAAGCAAACAGGTTTCCAGAAGCAGCAACAACTTTTGAGCATATAGGCTACAGCTCCCTTAAGGAGTTTACTTTAAATAGTTTTATTATTAGAAGGTCTTCTTTCTGGCCCTAGAAGAGGAGAATCATCAGGGCTAGACTGGTGCTAAAATTCAGCCCATCTGGCCCACACAGTCCCCCATAAATGTTTTGCTGGCGTTAGGGCAGTTGGAATAAATAATTTATTAATAAATAACAGACGAAAACAAATGATATTTTTGAACATTTAAAATGCATTTAACAATATTAATATTCCATTATATTGCAAGCTCTTAATTATTGAATTCATATTTTTCTGCAATTAAAGTTTATTAGAACTAGTTGCTTAAGCGAAATCAAGGAGTTTATAAGACTGGTTTATTCATTCTTTATACCAGGGATCCTCAAATCTGGCCTACGAGATCCACTTTCCTGCAGAGTTTAGCTCTAACCCTAATCAAACACACCTGAGCATGCTATTTGCAGTGCATTGTGGGATTGAATGAGTGCACTCGAGAACGTCCACTATGGTTTCGGACACCACTAAAAATGGCTGTTCCCTCAAATAGTGCCCTATTTAAGGGTATAGGGGGCGATTTCGGACACAGCCAATGTCTTCAGGATCATTAGAAAATCACAGGTAGGTGAATTTGATTAGGGTTGGAGCTAAACTCTGCAGCGCATTGGCCCTCCAGGGCAAGATTTGAGGAACCCTGCTTTATACTGTAGACATGTAGAACATATCCGCGTTTGTGCATCAATGTCTGTAATGTGTGCTGTAGGTGTGAAACTTTTAGGAATCTCTTAGGAAACTTTTAGGAATCGAGTTGTAGGCTAGTCAATATTGGTCAGTCAGTCGTGTCTGACATAAAGGATCAGCGAATGAAACTGTGACCACAAACACCATTACCTTAAGTGAATTATATGGCAATAATCAGCAATATGCTTTCACACAAATAACTTTATTTTTTGAATGTTTCAATATGTGTTGACACAAATTACTTATTTGAATTTTTCATTGATATAACATTGCATTGAGTTGTTATAAAAGAAATGCGTAGAGACGTTATTGCTTGATGACGTCAGGAACCGATGAATCAGCTTTTTGAACCGGTTCAATGAGCCGATCTGTCCGAAAAGAACCGGTTCGCGGAAATGAATCGGACTTTGCATGCCTAGTACAAAGACATTTTTATCGCTCATATCTTTTGAACTGAAATAGCGCAGACACTGGCGAGAATTACTCTTTCTTGTGTGCTTGTGTCAAGAGCTAATGTAGGCTACATGGTTTTGGCTTTAATAACAGCGCTTAATATGTGGGGGCGTGGTGGGGTTTCGATAATCGGCACACCGGGGAAAGCTCGGGTGCTCCCGATGGCCAATCAATTCTAGGTATACGTTTCCTTTCCTCTACAGCCAATCACGTCAGGCCCCCTCAATCCGCGGGCCCTGGGGCTTCAGCCCCGCCTACCCCTTATGTTAATCCGGCCCTGCATGTCATAATGGATAGTCATTGCATGCATCAGAATTAGGCTACCTATTTGCTCGCGCACGAGCAACTCCGTTTCATCTCTGGAGATGTGTTCAGTCTTTGCGCTTGCAAATTCCGCCGTGTAAATAGCAAATCCACCACCGCACGAGCGCAACTGGCTCTTAAATGGAATGGGAGACGAGACTCTGATTGGTTTATTGCACGTTATGCCCAAAACACACCCATTACTCATTAAGAGAATAGGGACAACCCTTTTAGGCCATGCGCCGGGCGCGCAGACCGTTTTTACCGTCATTAAACTAGCAAAAGTGGATTTGGACACACCCTAAGTGCACCTGCGCCGTGCGCTTTAGACCATGCACTTAGATCGTTAAAATAAGACCCATGGAGTTGTGGGCATTTCATTAATGTTTGATAACCAGAATCTACTATCCATCTATGTATATGTGTGTGTGTGTGTGTGTGTGTGTGTGACCCTGGACAACAAAACCAGTCATAAGTAGCACGGGTATATTTGTAGCAATAGCCAACAATACATTGTATGGGTCAAAATTATCGATTTTTCTTTTATGCCAAAAATCATTAGGATATAAGTACAGATCATGTTCCATTAAGATATTTGGTAAATTTCCTACTGTAAATATATCAACTTAATTTTTGATTAGTAATATGCATTGCTAAGAACTTAATTTGGACAACTTTAAAGATGATTTTCTCAATATGTGTGGCGTTCTCATACTGAGACACAAATACCATGAACAGCTGCCGTGCTCCCTCCACTTGAAACACAAGCTCCTATACACAATAACACATAGTGATACATTCAAATCAATTCAGTATATTAAATACAAGGCAAATCACAGAATGCATGATCTAATTTCTAAAAATGCATAATGGCTTTTACCCACTCACCTCATCCCATTGTGGTGTAACACAGAAGGCTGAAAGGCAGGTTTGTTTTCGTCTGTCGTAAAACTCAAAGCCGTCTACCTCCACACACACATATGCACCTGAAAGGTCAAATGAAATAAAGACAAGAAGCTTATTGGAAGATATTGTTCAATGCATACATACTATAGCATTTTAGTTGGAAAATAGATGGTATTTTTTGTTTGTTAATTTTTTTTAAAGCTCATTTGGGCACATTGTATTTTTGTGGTGTGTTACTTTGGCAACAGTGCTTGATGAAAGCAATACGTGCTTCATATTTAGTGCAGAATGTATGTGATGAGTTTGTGGGTTTGATGTGTGGCTCGGAAACTTTTATTCTTGTACAGACAACGTGTGTTTTGTCACTTACTGCTCGGGTTTTGCAGACCACACGCCGACTGAACCATCACATATAAGCTCCCACATATATGTGCACTTTCATCTGTGAAAGACACAATAGAAGCGAGAGTGTTCATTGTGCACAAGTGTGATTGAGAGCACTATTTACTGAAAGAAAGATACAGAGGGAGCTTTACTGGACTGAACGCAGTGAAGGGGAGGTTGTTGAGTCATTCTGAGTTTGATACAGGAACCGGTAACAGACAGCAGGTCTGGAGGAACTGTCTCGATACCTGTGAAACACACACACACACACACAAATGCATGGGTTATAATCATGCAATCAATCATCAGGACAAAGTACACAGCTGGATGAAGATGCACTCACAGTTTCCACTCTGTTTCTCAATGGCTTCTTTCCACTCAATCAGGTCATACAAAGAAAACAGTCGGATAGTGTGACTCTGTGGAAGGAAAAATTATTATTGACCAATAACCGGAGAGATGTGTAGTTTAAAGGCTTCATGAACTGCAAACATCTTATTTACATCTATCTATCAAGCCCATACCTTTAAACCTCAACGATTTTTACTCTTTTTTTTTTTTTTTTCAAAACGTTCACACAATGTTTTATCTACGTTAATATTTTCTGGTTAAAAATGACAGTTACACAATTTTATATTATTTTATTTTAAATTAATATTTAATTGACTACTTCATCATGTTCGCTACTTAATTTCAAATCAGAAATAGACATGAATTAGAATTTTATAGGCATTCTGAATATTCACATTTGTTGTGAAAGGGCTTGCAATGTAGTTATACTTACTGTAGGTCTTTTGTTCACAAGACATTGGTTCCTCTCAAGGCTTCTTCCTCATCTAACTAAACAACTTAGGGAGTTTTTTTATTTGCCACTGTAACCTTTAAATTCATTTAAACAAATTTAGGGTATTAAAGCTTATTCTGTTAACAGGTATGAACTGCTTTGGAACAATATATATTTTGAAAATTGCTTTAAAAGTGTTATATATATATATATATATATATACACACACACTGAATAGAAAAAAATGAATGCTTGTTGGATAGAAAGAATGTTCTCGTGTGTTCACGTGTGACACTGTTGTGGTTTTACCTTTCCACTGGTGCTATGTAGGTCGGTCGTAAAAGATGGCGTGTTTGTTAGGAGCCAGATCTCACACTCTTCAAGTTTGCGCCTCAAGCGATCAACAGCACGAGAAATTGGCACCTTGCCTCCTTTCTGGAAATAACACAAACAAACATGTTGCTATCTGAAAGGGAACTTACTACTGACTTCTCACATTTTTATGAAAGATTTTTCCCTCTTGAAATCTTTTTTTTTTTTGGAGATTTAGCTAACATCTATGTCAGGCACACAACACTATATATACACACACACTGAATAGAAAAAAATGAATGCTTGTTGGATAGAAAGAATGTTCTCGTGTGTTCACGTGTGACACTGTTGTGGTTTTACCTTTCCACTGGTGCTATGTAGGTCTAAAGTAAAAGATGGCGTGTTTGTTAGGAGCCAGATCTCACACTCTTCAAGTTTGCGCCTCAAGCGATCAACAGCACGAGAAATTGGCACCTTGCCTCCTTTCTGGAAATAACACAAACAAACATGTTGCTATCTGAAAGGGAACTTACTACTGACTTCTCACATTTTTATGAAAGATTTTTCCCTCTTGAAATCTTTTTTTTTTTTGGAGATTTAGCTAACATCTATGTCAGGCACACAACACAGACACGGATGCAGGCTTCAGCAGGAAAATAGTTTATTTTTAATAAGTCCAAACAAAAAGGGAAATTCCTCAAAAGAACAAAAATCCAGCCGGGGTATTTAGGGAAAAAAAAAAATAAAATTGCCCAACAGAAACAATGAGCAAACAAAAACGTCCTTGCAAAAAACACCCGGCAGAGGGCGCTCAATGGAGAAACCGAGTCTGACCACCAGATGTCGCTAATGCGCACGGTGTTAAAAAGCTTCGAGTAATGAACCGTTTTTCGGCACAATTTGATGAAAGCCTCAAACGGTTCAGAAAGCCTCGGTTTCCCATCAATAGGAAGAAGCAACAAAAAACCTGACAGGGAGCCGACAATGGCACGACTTAACAGGACCAAACGGGGCGGCTGAGCGTTGGCCAACAACGATCCGGCACCAGACGACACACAAGAGGGGAATAAATAGAGCGAGAGTTGAACAAAACATTGAATTCAGGTGAGCGAAATCAACCAATTATGCGCAGTAAGGGTGGTAACGAGAGGGAGGGAGGAACGCCACAGAGGAGTACACAGCGAACGATCAAAACAAAACAAAACACCATGTGCTCACAACATGCAGACAGATACAAAACACCACAACCGAAGGACAGGGTGATCAAACCGAGGACATGACAATCTAGGCTACTGTCAGAAATACTAAGGACCGAAAATCTCACTCAGTCACATGTAAATTGCCTTACCGTGTGTTGCTGGAGTGCTTGTTTGAGCTGGTACATTTTGGCTCTGGTTTTACTGATTTTCACTTGGTATTCTGATGAGGGCAGATGTTCAGCTGCCCAGTGCAGCTTCAGGCCAACCAATGGCAAGTACCAGCAAAACCTGTACTGTGCCTGCCTCCTTTATATGAAAACACATATAAGCCCATACAGTACATACACATCCATATCATGCTAATATGTTCAATAAATAAATAAAATACAAATTATAATTTATACTCTCAGAAAAAAGGTATAAAACTGTGGCCGTACCCCTTCAAAAGGTACTAATATATTCACTAGGTACTATATACTATTATATACCATTTACTGGTAAATAAGATACAAAGATGTACCTTTTAGCTTTTTTTTGCCTCAGTGACAGCTTTTCACCTTTTTTTCTAAAAGTATATAAACTATATAACAGGGGACCTCAAATAGCAGACCTCCAACTGGACCGCTATATCCTTTAATAATTTTATCTAGAGCCAAATGTGACCCTGGACCACAAAACCAGTCATAAGGGTCAATTTTTTTGATTTATACATCATCTGAAAAAACAAAAGAATGCAGCAAATAGAATTATTTTAAACTGTCATAAGACTCCAACCGTTCAAATAAACCAGGTTTGTGACAAGACATTTTTTTCCATCTACATTTAGCATTAATTTCTTTGTAGAAAAATTCTCAGACATTACTGCTTAGGCCCAATATTTTCATCTGCGATGATTATTTTGTCTTTGCCTTTTTCTTTTTGTTTTATTTTGTTAAGGTTTTTTTAGGGATGTAACGATTCACTCAACTCACGATTCGATTCGATTCACGATTATTTATTTATTTTTAACAAAATGAGATTTAAGACAAATTATAAATTAAATGTGTCCTTTTATTATTGCTTGGACAAAATGCACATGCTCTTTGTGAATTGAAATATAATACTATAATAATATACTAATATAGCACTTGCGTATTACTGCTCTTTTGTTGGTTTTGATTGCTTCTATTGTCCTCATTAGTTAGTCGCTTTGGACAAAAGCGTCTGCTAAATGACAAAATTTAAATATAATGTAAATGTAAATAACAAAACTACTTAGGCCCAATATTTTCATCTGCGATGATTATTTTGTCTTTGCCTTTTTCTTTTTGTTTTAATTTGTTAAGGTTTTTTAAGGGATGTAACGATTCACTCAACTCACGATTCGATTCACGATTATTTATTTATTTTTAACAAAATGAGATTTAAGACAAATTATAAATTAAATGTGTCCTTTTATTATTGCTTGGACAAAATGCACATGCTCTTTGTGAATTGAAATATAATACTATAATAATATACTAATATAGCACTTGCGTATTACTGCTCTTTTGTTGGTTTTGATTGCTTCTATTGTCCTCATTTGTAAGTCGCTTTGGATAAAAGTGTCTGCTAAATAACAAAATTTAAATATAATGATGATGTAAATAACAAAACTACATTGAATTTTTAAAACAAGCCCCAAATCAAATAAATAAGTAACACAAATAAAATAAATATCTTCATATAAACAAAATAAGGCTTTGTCTGTACTCTTTCCATTTAAAATTAGAGGCAACCACTGCATTTTAATCATGATCCAAACAAAGATGCTGCATACATGCAACATGAGCAGTTTTAAAACATGCATTCATATAAACTCCTACACCTAAATTAATCGCGATTTGTTTAGCATCTCAACTTTAGATTTAGATTTGAATCGTCACATATTTGAATCGATTTTCAACCGGCTTGCGGTTTATCGTTAACGTTACATCCCTAGTTTTTTTCTTTTACAAAGTACTTCTGCTGCCCAGATGGAAATGTATAACTATCCCAAAGAAAGTATTGTCCGGATCTCCACGGGGAAGGAAACATAGAGACCTGTGATTGGTGGAGACTCACCCTGCACTTGTCAGTCTGGCACATAGCAGCATGTCTGTGTACAGGAAGAGGTGTCTCAGGTTGTGCCCGTTCTCACACACGTCTACCACAAACCCATCTCGCATCAGCTGACGTCTCTGTGGACATGCACACGTGTATATATTATTATGAGGAACATTAAATATAACAGTTTAATAACAAAGTTGAACAAAAATCTGCATGTGAGGAACCATGTCACGTGAGGTGGGGAGTACCTCTCCTCTGCTGAGCTTGACAGAACGTTTGCACTGCGACCGTTCATTGACCCCAGAGAGGAAGCTGCTGGAGAGACGAAGCGCTTCCTGCAGCGTGATGCTGTCGGGGTGATCGGGGGGCGTGTGCTTCCACAAGTCCTGAGGAGGACAGAGAAGAATGTCAATAAATCCATAGAATATTTATAAATAAATGTAAGATGTGATCTTAAACAGAATCTCACGTGCAACACAAGTGTGGTTTTCATCACTCTGTCTAACGGCTTATACAGGAGAGCTGTGGAGTCCAATGTATGAATTATTGAATGTTCCCAGTGTTTAAAAATTCATTCAAAACCATACAGGGAAGCAAAAAAGGAATTGTTTACCTTCAAAGGTGTACTTAGTTTTGACATTGTCTGATCCTTTGGAGGACATCATACTCTATAAAGATAACAAGAGACAAAGGTTTTGTGTTGTTTCCCCCTAATAAAGATAACAAAAAGGGAAGAATATAAGACCTCTGCAAGCGTCCTGAAACGCTGGTCTGACTGCATACACTTCTGCACGATCTCCACTGCACTCTCATAGTTGTCAATGAAGCCCCGATACACTCCTAACTGGTTGACCTGCAAAATGACATCAAACTATTATAAAATATACTAACAAATTAATATATATGTGCTATATTGAATTTTTTTGTGAACATTTCAATGAACTGATGCAACATTGTGTCAATTGCTTCATATTACAACAAGAAGTCAAGAAGGAATAAGCCATATTTCATTATCATCACTGCTGTCGGCTGATGATCAGTTTTATGGTATTACCAGACACATGCATATAAAACAACTCACAAACTTATGAAACAGGTCTCCCACACAAAAATGATGCTCCCTGTGGCAAAGCTGCATCACTGGGGCCTCGTCCCTCTCCGGGTCTTGTTGTGACCCTGGGTCCATCACTTCATCAGGTTGCAGTTTGGCCCGAAGGCTTGTGTAAAAGTCCTTGTGCAGATCTCTGAGCTCAGGGATTTGATAAAACACAGTCTGAACCTGCTCAGTGGACAACACCGGTTGAGAGGTTCCCGCTGCTGCCCTCAAAGCTTTCATAGGCTGCAGAGAAGGAGACATTATAGAGAGAAAATGAACAAATGTCAAAGAATGGAAGTAAGACTGGGAACTGAAATGAAACTCAGGCTGAAAATAGCTGATGTATAACTGAAAAACACTTTATAAATACATCACAGAATGAACACAAAGCATCTTCATGGGTAAATGCCGGACACAATTCCTGTGAGGAAGTGGTTGAGAAACATGACACTTTTCATGCATTCTGTACTTCAACATTATGTTGCATGTCATTCTGGACTTTTTGGAAACTCTCTAGTTTAATGATAACCACTAATGGTCTGACTAGAAACGGAAGCAATACTTCACTAAGAGAAACAGAAGTTGACCTACAGGAAGTGGCAGATGCGAAGAAGGTTCGATTTAAATAGCGTGTATCAGAAACAGTGTTGGGGAAAGTTACTTTTAAAAGTAATGCATTACAATATTGCCTTACTTCCTAAAAAAGTAACTAATTACGTTACTTAGTTACTTTTTATTGAAAGTAATGCGTTACGTTACTTTTGCGTTACTTTTTAAATCTGGGCTGGGCTTGCTCTATTCTAGTTTTGGCAAATATAAAAGCCCTTTCACACCAAAAGCCTCAGGCTGAAGGAAATGTAAATTCACATCTGTACAGTA